AGAAATGTACTCCTGCTGCTGTGACAAAGTCAGGGCCGTAGCTAACACTAAGAACAGTTCAGTTCATGATTTGTTTCTGGGACTTTTACTGTAAGGAAAAGTAACTCATGGCAGTATTTCTTTTTTTGCAGATCCAACTAGTTTTTGACTTAAAATTTTAATTTGTGTCCAACACAGAAGACAAAAGAGGCAATATGTGGACCTTGTAAAACGTTTTACAATGGCACTGCCCTGGACTTTGACCAACATGTTTAACTCCCACTTGAGCAGAATGTCCACTGAAAACTGAACACACACACACGAAACAAAAACCTGAAAAATCATTCATAATATGTGAATATAAATGAGAACGCTAGTTTGGCTTTTCTTTGTTTGTGGGCTTGAATGTGAAATGTTCAGTTTTTACAATTTGCAGAATTTATTTTGAACTATTGTCGTCATAGAATCACAAAATCAATGTTGTTATTTTGAAAAGAACATGTACACAATATTCTCATACAGTCCATTGTAAGTCGAAGCTGACTGCATGTACTGCACATATAGGTTATCCATCATTTGTTATCATACTTACATAATATAGCTCGAGGGACACCTGACTTTAATGCATCTAGCCCCCGGTTGGATAGCTGCTGATTATGCACTTGTTCAAACCCAGTTACTAAAATATAGCGTCTGCAGGTGATTGTATCATGAAGAAAACAGTTTGCCCACCACCCAAAACTCAAAGCACAAGCTTGGTACTGGCCACTTGATTGATATGAGGCCTTTTACTATAATAGAAGCACTGACACTATACAACAACAACAACGTATTACAGTAAATGACAGACAAAATGCCCCAGTCCATCTGGTAAAACTTCCTTAAAACCAAAGAAAGTTAAACTGATCTCAGAAGCTCTTACATCCAAACTATGTCATTTTAGCAAAGCCAACCTTTATATGTGGTTTGCATTCATGCAAGCTGCCACTGAGGATTTTGCGAAGTGACAGGCAAATTACCCTGAGAGGAAAAAGAGCTGTCTTCCTGTTATTCATCGAAGTTTGAGTTGTGTGACAGCCAGAAGTTTCGAAATGTTTTTCACCGGGGACTTACAGTATTAACCAAAGTGGTTCCTCTACTTATCTGATGTAAACAATGGTCACATATGAATACACACTTAGAGAAATAAATGTGGATATAAATGTGAAAAGGAGTGTGTATTGTCAGGTTAATCCATTGTGATTACATCATACTGTCTTTAATAAGGCCTATCCCCTCAAGAGCTGGTCTCTCTCTGCCTCCCGTGGGATCGAGCCTTCAGCTTCCTGTCTGATGCCGTCAGAAGCAAAGTCGGGCGTGACGTGGAATCCAGCCTTCGGTTTCAAAGCCGATATTGTCATGAAATTAAGCCTTGAATATTAATTTCCAACAGACAGAGGCTTAATAAATCTACAGGCAAAACAAGTTGTGTTACGCCTGCCAACGGTGAAAATATGTGTAAGTCCTCTCTCTTGCCAGCCAACTGGAAGATCCCAGTTTTTTTTATGTGCACCTTATCTATATGCAATAAAACTCAAGACAAGACAAGTTCTCTCTTTGTGAATTCATCTCTGAAGCGCCACCACAGGGTGTTTGTGAAGGGAGTGCAAACACAAGTGAAAGAGAGGAAGGCAAAGTGTCATCTATAGAGATCTGGAGCGAGAAAGGAGGGGCCGGCTGCATGCGGAAGAGTGTGTGTGTGTGTGTGTGTGTGTGTGTGTGTGTGTGTGTGCGTGTGTGCGTGTAGGAGGGTTCTGATGAAGACCCTTCGGTACACCATGTGCTCGCTCAAGGAGCTGTTAGGAGCTGTTGAACGATTGATGGCTCTCTCAGAGAGAAACAGTGTCATGTTATCATGTTATTGCCAAGGAGATCTGTGAAAACACTTTTATTTCTCAACACACACACACACACACACACACACACACACACACACACACACACACTACTTGAAAAGCTCAGCTTTGTTAAACTGTAAAGAGATTTTTAAATCTGTTGCTAAGGAACAAGAGAGAAACTTGTGACTCCACAGACACATATGATTAATTTAGTTCATTTATCTTATAATACTTCTGAAGTTTTACAAAATATTTTCAGTAACATTTTAAATGCAAAGCTTTAACTTGTAAGTTTGATTGTGGTGATGTTACTTTTAGCTGCATAAAGGATCTGAATACTTCTTCAATCGCTGTCAAATACAAAACTTTCTTTTTTTTATTTGCAAAACCCTGAACTGTTTAAAAACACAGACTAGTCTACATTGTGGTTAAATGCATTTAAATGCAAATGTAAATACATTTTTATTTTTTATTGTGGAGTTTAATACAAAATTAGTTTTCAAGCAATACAAGTACAGATACAAAAGATACATACAGATACACAAGTTGTTGGTAAATTGGATATATTTTTAGTCTAATTTTGAAGCTAATTCAGGGGAACTTTAAGATGAATATTGGATGAAGATTAAGTAGTTAATAAGCTTTATTTAAACATTAAATGTTTTATCTATGTTGAAGATGAGCTTTATAATGTTGTGATCATCAGTAAGTGTAATTTCCTCTTTGAGTTGGCCAAACATTGGTCATCTGTGTCCTTATCACATCCATCCAGACACCCACATTCTCTATTCTTTCTGACCCTTTTACTCCATTGGGACACCAGCTGACATCACACACATCCACACACTCACTCACTCACTCACTCTCTCTCTCTCACACACACACACACACATCCTCTGTGGACCAAGTCCCCAGAGGTCGAAGCCAGCACAATGTCATTATCAACCATCGGATTGTACGTGGTCACTGCCCATTCAGTCTTGCTGACGTTCCTTTTGTGCTCAGTAATTCTTCTCACAGAAGACCCCTCTCCCTTCCCCCCCCCCGTCTACTGCGGCCCATCTGTAATCCCATCCCCCATCCTGCACCCCCATATCCACCCTGTCTCACCCTGCACTTCTTCCAAACAAACCAGCTGTCTTGGCCGGCCGTGTCCCCCGGGGGTGTAAACAGGTGCCGAGAGGGCCGCAGGGCCTCAGCATGTGACACATGGCAGCACGCTCCTCCAGCCTTCTCCTCCAACCTGCCAACACACCAGAGAAGAGAGATAAGGGCGGCGTCTTTTACAGCTGCAGACTTGATTGTTATCACAGACGAGGAGCCGTTGATGACTAATAGCATTAAAAACACTGAAACGTTCTCACTGGGACAGTAAAGTAAACGGTTGTGATAGTACTGCTTGAAAAAAGTGTGTGTTTCGTAAGAACTTAATGGAGTTAATGAAGATTTTTGTAAGTTGTACATGATGTTTTTACTTGAATACATTATTGTGCAGTGTGAATCTATTTGTAGGTTGTGTAGGCATGAAGGAGGAACCTTGACATGCCTTTAGCAGCTATAAAATTATACATTGCTGTGGAACCAATATAGATAAAAGGAAAGAGTTCTGTCCTGCTAAGCCAGCTGTATTTTTAGCACAAACAACGCACTGTGCACAGAGAGAGGAACTGTTGGACGCAGGTCGATGCGCCTGTACACACAAACCAAAAATGTAACCACAGGTCGATGCTACTCTTTGTATGAGTGTGAAATGTCAACGGAGGCCCTGATTAAATGTTTGCGCTTCAAGACATGGGGGAATTGACAATACTTCTTCCTTGAATTTGACTTCATGAATGAAAGAATACACTTTTAAATGGATATTTTCTAGGACTGTTTGCTGCCACTTTGAGGCCATAAGTATGCAAGTTATTCTGCTTTTGCCTTCTCTGACACTGTTTGCGTATGATACAAAAAAATTGGGATTTGTAAAGAGAAACCCAGCAAGTGCATTAGCTTCTTTATGCAGCGCTTTCACAACTTTTACAATTCTTTCAAGCGCTTGCAAATATAAGGCACCCAAGTTTGGAAACCGCTTTTGAACGCAGTAAAGTCTTTCTTTTGAAGCGTGAAGAACAAAGGCAGCCTCACACCCTAAACTGTTCGACTATCACTCTCTCTGTGGTGAGCTCAGCTGCGTTGCACACTCTTTTGTACATCTGGCACTTTCGACTCCTTGACAGTGTGTGTGTGTGTGTGTTTGTGTGTGTGTGTGTGAGAGAGGGGGTGTATGCATATGTGTGAGTGTGTGCATATGTCAGGCTAGTTTTTGGTGCTGAGCCACGCTGCAAACCAAACTGCCACCTTGTTGAGTAGACACGCTTGAATCTGTAACAAGTTGAGGCAAGTTGGTGTCTCACCTTGTGCATGTGTGCATGACTTTTATCACCTTCCATCTTACAGCAGCTGCCAAGTTATTTACCCATGTGGAGACAAACAACCCAGTAGCAATTACTGGAAAGTGTTGTGTTGGAGATGCTGAATTTTAAGTCCTTGCACAATAAACACACACAGGAATGTACCCTTGCCTGTTGGATAATTAAGAGTGTGTGGATTTCCAAAAATAAAAAGGAGAAAAGAATGAGTGTATTTTCCCCTCAAAGTCAAAAACCCTAAATCTCCCGTAGAGGGGATAAGGAGGTAAGAACATCATGGGCCTCTTCGGACTATAATTATGTTGTATAGATAAACTGAAACAGATGGATGATTTCCTGTTGGGAATTTTCAAGAAAATTCACAAAGAATATACGTAAGTAAAGCATTTTTTTGTCTGTGGATATGTACAAAACTTGTAGCACCTCTGTATCCTATGTGGTCCACAAAGATCAACACCAGGAGAATAATACATTTCATCCAAATTGCTGTCACATGCAATTCACTTTTTTGCTCACTGTTGGATTAGTACATCAAATGATCTGTGCATGTATGTGATCGTGACAGTGTATTTAGACTCAGCCACATGCTAATTCATCGGCAAGCAATAGCAGTGGAGGCAGGGATTGTGCAATATCAGCGCAATACATTTGGCCAGCTGCTCGAACTGGACTCTCAGCAGCAGCTCCTGCATTTGCATTTGATGCAGACTTCTTGCAGACTTCAGTAAGGGGACCCAGCACCGCGGATGACTCTGAACTCAACAAAACTTTTGCTGGATCGGAGGTTAGAGTAGAAATAAAACACCAATAAAGTACTTCCGCGTCATCGTTTGGACCTTGTTCGAGTTTAAAGACGTAGTTCGCGTGTAACTCGTGTTGGGTGTATTTAAAAACAGCTCCGGGTTGAAGCGGAGCAGAGGGAACTAGCTTTCCTGGCGGAGTAGCACTAAATCTACAGCGCAACAGACTACCGGCGCACAGTTCACCGCTGAGCTCGGAGCCAGACAGAGTGCGCTACAACTGGAGGGTTTAACTCCGGGATGCATCGGTGTGGCGATTAATGAACAACAACATTTTATCTTTAGCCAAGCAACGCTTTCACCTCCGCTGAGTTGGACCGTTTTGAAGAGCGGTTGTTCGCCTGGACTTTCTCGACACTGGAAGGACTTAAACTGAACTCAAGATGTCAATTTTGCCTTTCACTCCCCCCATTGTAAAAAGACTTTTGGGCTGGAAGAAGGGAGAGCAGAACGGCCAGGAGGAGAAATGGTGCGAAAAGGCGGTGAAAAGTCTCGTAAAGAAGCTGAAGAAGACGGGACAACTGGACGAGCTGGAGAAAGCCATCACCACCCAGAATATCAACACCAAATGCATCACCATACCGAGGTAAGGAGAGTCGGAGCGCTGCAGTGTTGACGTTTAATTAACCTTACATCGTTAACGCAGTCTTTAGCTACCCGTAGCATGCTCACCTTAACGTAAACATGTGTGACATCCTTAACCTTACGTCACAGATACGTTTGACATGTCCACTTCCTGTCTCGCGTCAAATATGTAGCTATTTATGTATATGTAGATACTTATGTAGCAAAACGGTGGGTAGTGTGAGTTAATACTTAACGAGCTCACAGAAAGCTACAAAATCATCTTGTCAGTTCGCCCAGCTGACATGCCATCACATGAACACTTTACTTTAAGTCAACTGAAACGTTTTCTCTTTTCTTTTTTTTTTTGCAGTTTATTGCGATGGAATTGACGTTTTTACTGGCGTCACGTTGTTGAATAAAGAGGATGCAATGTGTGCATTGAGTAGCCAGCAGCGCACATGCAATTCAAAAAGCACGAATGGAGTTCAAGTTATATAACTTGGCCTTAATCTGGGACACTTTCTGGCGGTGTGGGCTTGTGTTGGTGCGTAGGCGGCTCTGTGGAGCTGGGCTCTTGTGTCTCCTTTCAATGCATCTACACAGCCATTTGTCTATCGAAACAGCATCTTATTCGTGTAATAAACGCTGGCATTCAATGTCAAATTGCTGCTCGTCATTTGTGGCATTCAGTTCAGTTAGAAGCAGTCTCTTTTCTACGAAGGCTGTTGCAGGTAAGAGCTTGTGAGGTGCTGTTTGTACACACAAATCATGCCTGCCAATAGTCTGAGTTTGACTGATCTGAGTTCCTAAACGTCATAGTAACATCATATTAGCAGGAGTAATGTGGAATTAAAGGTTGTGTCTGTCTTAACACATTCCAACACATGAAACTGCCTTTGAAGATATAACAGGACAGCATCTGTTACATACACTCATGTACCAGCACTCCTAGCTAAATAGCATCCACCTCATGTACAAGTACATCAGAGAGGGTACAGCTGCAGTGATTAATCAGTAAATCAACAGAAAATTAATGAAATATTTTGATAATCAGTGGATAGTTTAAGTCATTTCCTTCAATGCCAAACACTTGCTGGTTCCAGCTTATTAAATGTGAGCTTTTGATGTTTTACTTTGTTATACAAATACATATCTTGTGGTTTTGGACATTAGAATACATTGGAAGGTGTGGACTGTGCGTAAAAGGCATTTTTAACAATTATCTGAAGTCCAGACCAAACAATTCGTCAATTAATCAGGGAAGTAATTGTCAGATGAATCGGCAATGAAAACAATCGTTGGCTGCATACCTAAATGATTGTAATCTAATTCATAGAAAAGGCCTCAAAACAGTGCAACAATCTACGGTCTCCAAATGATAACAAAGTGGAATCAATACCCATCCTTAAAAGTTTCAACAATAACAATAGCATTATAACCTTTTTATAAAAGTAGGGTTGCATTACTTTCAGTTAGATGTGAGTCATAAACTGGCAACAGAGTGTAGAGTGATTTAAGTATATACACCATTTCTTTGCAAGTTGTAAGTGACAAAATAAAGATCTCAAACTTTTGAATGTGTCCACAAAACCTCACTTGCATATGTGGGCAATTTAGATTAAATAGCACACTGTGTGTCAGATGGAACTTGAGCCCTACTCTGGGCACTCCCACATTCTTCATTGCCACAAGTGTGCATATCACAGCTTGCACAGGCCCGGGCCAGCTTTCGGAGTTAAGCCTACCCGGAAAGTTAAATAATGTTTGTCATGATCCAGGTTTTATATTTCCCACCACTAATACAGAGGGGAAGAGGAGGGAGTGCATTAAGATGACCCCAGATCAGGGCTGGCTGTCGGTGTGGGCTAACACTGTCCCTGGAGAGCTGCTGTTTCTATTAATTCCCCTACGTTCTGGCTGGCTGACAGCAGCTGCCTGCGTGTCCAGGCCTGTCCATGCAGAGGTCAGCTCCTATCTCTCTGACACATGTACTCCCTAATGAGGCTCATTGCTACCCCTCTTGATGACGGTCAGCCGTGATGCTGAGTGCTGATGGAAGCAGGCGCTGTGCATTGGTTGAGCCGGGCGTCAGCTGGTGGATTAGCAGATCAAGTATCTGTTGGGGGACTTTAAGGCAGGATTATTAAATAAGGGGTAAAACAGATGTTTTGCTCATCACAGCTGATCGAAATATCTTAGAGGGCCAGATGCCAGAAGCTGATTTTTTTTTTTTTTTTTTTTAAATCTCAAGACTTAATGTCTTCTTCCAGTTGTGTCAAACAAAGTTAAGGATGTTTAGACGTTTTGTCCAAAGCAGCTCCTTCCTGTAAGTTTTGTCTGTCAGACTTGCCTTGCCAAGTGGTAGAAATGAGATGTTTAGAAGATTTGGGAAAGCCATCTGTCAGATTTTAAATGCTAGACGGCATTTACAATACCGTGACTGTCTCTGGTTAGAAACCATGGTATCACAACTTGGTGATTTTGGTCCATAAACAGTTATTTTTGGGTGCGGGTGGTTAACGTAGGCTGTGTGTGTGTGTGTGTGTGTGTGCATGTCCCAGCATGTTTACACTGGAGATAAAGCCTGCGTCCCATAAAAAAACTCAGTCACTTTGATTTAAATTCCCAGTTGAATCCGGAAACGAAGACTAGACTTCGCCTATCATTTGGGCATGGCTGCTGCTTTACTCGCTGTGGTTTTCACAATGAGTTGTTTTCCCATTTTCTTTTAGGAGCAGTAAGCAAAGTGAATGCTGGGGCTCCTGTCCAAGTTCAAGCCTTAGTCACTCAACAACAAGCAATTGTGGGATTGTGGTGCTGACCTACCCTCCCTCCCTCCCTCTCTCTTTTTAAATCCTTTCTTCCTATGAGCTGTAAACGTGGGTTAGTCACAAACATCGGTGTGTAAAATGCGTCAAGCCATGAAAGTCTCCCAGTTTGCGATGGTAGAGGGGTGGATGTGTCGTGTGGGAGCCTGCACTGTTTGAATGTGAAAAGATGACTAACGAATGACTTAACTTCTGTTGCTTAAGGAGACTCTCGTGCAAATAAGCAGAAGCCCCGTCTGTTCCCATTATGGATTGGTAAATATCTCAGGTGGTTATACTGTGGCTGCCCAATAACTAAATATTCCAAGGCCTCTCCAGTGACCCTAGAAGATGTGACTCTTGTCCGTCTCTTGAGCAAAATAGACACAAAGTTAGGGGTTGAGGGAGGAGGTCGGATTGGTCAACAAAACACAAGACTTTGACACAAGAGGCTGTTTGGTTCCTATTTTCTACCCATTGTCATTGTTGGTTAATTTAGCGATGGCCCTGACCTTAACTAAGATGTTGAAGATCCCGTAACGTTGAGGAAGTACTTATTTTAATCCAAACCACCGTGTTTCCTTAAGATAAACCAATACGTTATGAAACCATGACCTTTCCTCAACCCGAACCAACACTTTGCAAAGGTGATTTGTAACTTTTTTGGAATAACATTTGATGTCCCACATAGCCTAAAGTGACGCCTTTATTTAGTCGGTTTTGTTTAATGAATTACTTCAACAATGGATTCTCAAATTTGTTGTCGATAAATTGTCAAAAGTGGCAGATGTGACTGAGGAGAGACCTTTACAAGCTTAACTACTTCTGTAACGATGGATAGAAATTAGTCCGACGTTGAATTTAGGAGGAACCAGTTGGTCAACAGTCTCTCAATAGCTTCTTGCATCGACTAGTCTTTGAGCCAAATGCAAATTATTACATAAAAATGATCTACCTGTCCGTAGCAGTCCGGTCATGTTTGAACAGAGAACTATGTATGGAAGCCAAACAATCATTCTTAACAGAAAGATAAACACATGCATGTTAAAGGCTCTGTGTCGAACAGGGATTTGGGGTGAATAAGTTTACATTGGAGCTTTCAGAGCAGAAACGTTTGTAAGATTCCAATAGCAGTTTAGTGGGGGATCACTGGTGGTATATTACAGATGATTCAAGGTGTGTGTTGCATGTTTGTGTGTGTTTTTGTCTTTTCGCAGAGCCTGGGGGATTCCTACCTCCCTTAGCTTAGTCCGTCTTATGGCTGGGGAGTGCTTTCGTCTTGTCCACACACATCCCTCCTGGCAGCGGGACTACAGTCTGATTCACACCGCTGCATGTCAGGGCAGGAGGGAGGCAGGGAAGGAACCCCAAGTACAGAAATAAAATATGGGATGAAACAAAAAAGACAGGGAAAAGAAAGATTATGGGCCGAATGAGAGACTCAAGAAATCAAAACATAAATCAAAAGAAATACTTAAGCAATCCCGCGGTAGTCTTGTGTAAATCATGGAATTATAGAAACTTGTGGTCACCATTGCGAATCAAGATTTGTTATCTGTGTTCTTGGATCAAATAGGAATTTTTAAATCAAAATTGTGCCAGTTTTAGACTATTTTGTAGAAAATGTGTTTTAATTTCAAGGAAGTTATTGAAAGAATCTCTTTGTCGTCATTAGTGACTCTGGTATCATGTTGTCTCTTCCCAGTCCTAGTTGATACGTTGATACGTTGACGCCATCGTACAGTACAAGTGTTTATTAGCCAGATTCATGCTGTCTGGGCGCTAAGTGAGGGACAGCATGTAAAGGGAAATACAGAGGGACGAAGTGGAGTTGGGATTCCCAGTGTTGTGTCTGTCTGGTGCTGCAGGGGAGAGCCTGTCATCATAGTGGGGGAGTGTGATTTAATGAGGGAGGAGGATGACACATGCATTATAGACAGCAGAAGACGGGATATGAAGAGTGAAAGGGACAGAGATGAGAAGTTGGAGAGGATCCGAGTTTTGAAAGAGAAATGTAAAACCAGAAAGCCAAAGGGTTTAGCTGAAGGAAGAGAAGGAGACAGAATATTTGGCAAGAGGCAGCGTATTGGATTCTCAAGCTTATCGGAGGAAGACTGCGGTTCCAGTGGTTGGCATGCAGAGAAAGAAACGCGCTAATAGCTGAGAGAGAACTGGTTTGTTTTTCCTTCTAGACAGCCATCCAGCATCAGAA